TTTTGAACAGAAGGAGTAGCAAGAGCAGGCGCAGCAGTAGCAGCAGGAGGAAAAAGTAGCTAAAATCATTTCTATGGGTTTTGAACAGAAGGAGTAGCAAGAGCAGGAGCAGCAGCAGCAACAGGAGGAAAAAGTAGCTAAAATCATCCTTTTCTATGGGTTTCAGAAGTTACATTAGGGAGTTTTTGGTTGCAATTTTGATGCTTTTCCGTCCTTCACTGCCATGGTGTTTTCCCATCCGGGGGCTGTCTTTTGAACAGAAGGAGTAGCAAGAGCAGGAGCAGCAGCAGCAGCAGCAAGAGGAAAAAGTAGCTAAAATCATCCTTTTCTATGGGTTTCAGAAGTTACATTAGGGAGTTTTTAGTCGCAATTAGGAGGAAAAAGTAGCTAAAATAATCCTTTTCTATGGGTTTCAGAAGTTACATTAGGGAGTTTTTGGTCGCAATTTTGATGCTTGTCCGTCCTTCACTGCCATGATGTTTTCCCATCCGGGGGCTGTCTTTTGAACAGAAGGAGTAGCAAGAGCAGCAGCAGCAGCAGCAGGAGAAAAAAGTAGCCAAAATCAAAGCTAATCATCTTGTTCTATGGGTTTCAGAAGTTACATGGGTTTCAGAAGTTATTTAAGGAAGTTTTTGGTCGCAATTTTGATGCTTTTCCGTCCTTCACTGCCATGGTGCTTTCCCATCCGGGAGCTGTCTTTTGAACAGAAGGAGTAGCAAGAGCAGGAGCAGCAGCAGCAGGAGGAAAAAGTAGCTAAAATCATCCTTTTCTATGGGTTTCAGAAGTTACATTAAGGGAGTTTTTGGTCGCAATTTTGATGCTTTTCCGTCCTTCAGGGCCCTGCTGTTTGGGCGTGGCGGAGGCGCCGTTTCTGAGCTTGGAAAGCTAGAAGATGGCTACTTTTCGTGTAATTTCAGAAAGCAACGTTAGGCAGTTGGGGCCGTTGTCGGCAGGCCCGGTCCGTCCTTCAGGGCCCTGCTGTTTGGGCGTGGTGGAGGCGCCGTTTCTGAGCGTGGAAAGCTCGAAGACGGCTACTTTTCTTGTAGGTTCAGAAAGCAACGTTAGGCCGTTGGGGCCGTTGCCGGCAGGCCCGGTCCGCCCTTTAGGGCCCTGCTGTTTGGGCGTGGCGGAGGCGCCGTTTCTGAGCTTGGAAAGCTAGAAGATGGCTACTTTTCTTGTAGGTTCAGAAAGCACCGTTAGGCAGTAGGGGCCGTTGCCGGCAGGCTCGTCCTTCAGGGCCCTGCTGTTTGGGCGTGGCGGAGGCGCCGTTTCTGAGCTTGGAAAGCTGGAAGATGGCTACTTTTCTTGTCTTTTGAACAGAAGGAGTAGCAAGAGCAGGAGCAGCAGCAGCAGGAGGAAAAAGTAGCTAAAATCATCCTTTTCTATGGGTTTCAGAAGTTACATTAGGGAATTTTTGGGCGCAATTTTGATACTTTTCAGTCCTTCACTGCCATGGTGTTTAGGGGGAAAAAGTAGCTAAAATAGCTAAAATATAGCTAAAATAATCCTTTTCTATGGGTTTCAGAAGTTACATTAGGGAGTTTTTGGTCGCAATTTTGATGCTTTTCCATCCTTCACTGCCATGGTGTTTTCCCATCCGGGAGCTGTCTTTTGAACAGAAGGAGTAGCAAGAGCAGGAGCAGCAGCAGCAGGAGGAAAAAGTAGCTAAAATCATCCTTTTCTATGGGTTTCAGAAGTTACATTAGGGAGTTTTCGGTCGCAATTTTGATGCTTTTCCGTCCTTCAGGGCCCTGCTGTTTGGGCGTGGCGGAGGCGCCGTTTCTGAGCTTGGAAAGCTAGAAGATGGCTACTTTTCGTGTAATTTCAGAAAGCAACGTTAGGCAGTTGGGGCCGTTGTCGGCAGGCCCGGTCTGTCCTTCAGGGCCCTGCTGTTTGGGCGTGGCGGAGGCGCCGTTTCTGAGCTTGGAAAGCTCGAAGACGGCTACTTTTCTTGTAGGTTCAGAAAGCAACGTTAGGCCGTTGGGGCCGTTGCCGGCAGGCCCGGTCCGCCCTTTAGGGCCCTGCTGTTTGGGCGTGGCGGAGGCGCCGTTTCTGAGCTTGGAAAGCTAGAAGATGGCTACTTTTCTTGTAGGTTCAGAAAGCACCGTTAGGCAGTAGGGGCCGTTGCCGGCAGGCTCGTCCTTCAGGGCCCTGCTGTTTGGGCGTGGCGGAGGCGCCGTTTCTGAGCTTGGAAAGCTGGAAGATGGCTACTTTTCTTGTCTTTTGAACAGAAGGAGTAGCAAGAGCAGGAGCAGCAGCAGCAAGAGGAAAAAGTAGCTAAAATCATCCTTTTCTATGGGGAAGTTACATTAGGGAGTTTTTAGTCGCAATTAGGAGGAAAAAGTAGCTAAAATAATCCTTTTCTATGGGTTTCAGAAGTTACATTAGGGAGTTTTTGGTCGCAATTTTGATGCTTGTCCGTCCTTCACTGCCATGGTGTTTTCCCATCCGGGGGCTGTCTTTTGAACAGAAGGAGTAGCAAGAGCAGCAGCAGCAGCAGCAGGAGAAAAAAGTAGCCAAAATCAAAGCTAATCATCTTGTTCTATGGGTTTCAGAAGTTACATGGGTTTCAGAAGTTATTTAAGGAAGTTTTTGGGCGCAATGTTGATGCTTTTCCGTCCTTCACTGCCATGGTGTTTTCCCATCCGGGAGCTGCCTTTTGAACAGAAGGAGTAGCAAGAGCAGGAGCAGCAGCAGCAGCAGGAGGAAAAAGTAGCTAAAATCATCCTTTTCTATGGGTTTCAGAAGTTACATTGTGGAATTTTTGGGCGTCCTTCACTGCCATGGTGTTTAGGAGGAAAAAGTAGCTAAAATAATCCTTTTCTATGGGTTTCAGAAGTTACATTAGGGAGTTTTTAGTCGCAATTAGGAGGAAAAAGTAGCTAAAATAATCTTTTTCTATGGGTTTCAGAAGTTGCATTAGGGAGTTTTTGGTCGCAATTTTGATGCTTGTCCGTCCTTCACTGTCATGGTGTTTTCCCATCCGGGAGCTGTCTTTTGAACAGAAGGAGTAGCAAGAGCAGGAGCAGCAGCAGCAGCAGCAGCAGGAGGAAAAAGTAGCTAAAATCATCCTTTTCTATGGGTTTCAGAAGTTACATTACCAGTTGTTTCCGTAATTATATCCTCAGCAACCTCTTTTTTTTTCCGGGGTCGGCGCAGGGGCGGCAGCCCTTATAAGTTATAAGCAATTGCCAAATTATCACACAAGTCATGGCCAAATGTTGCACCACATCAAACCTTGGACTAGGTCGATAAGTTGGCATGTTTTGTAACAAAAATATCATGATTAGAATTACCCAAGATCTCAGAACATTTGCTCAGCCAAGGATCGAAACCCAGCCACCAGGCTTCCAATCCCACTAAATAGCTTGACGCAGTGAAGATCCTCACAGGGGTCCACAGGCATCAGGAATCCACTTGCAACTCTTTGATAGCATGCAACTGTAACCATATATGTTTCAATGGATGCATGTAGATTCCATCAATCAGCAGGGAGGAGATCTCACTATTTAAACCAATTGATCTAATCCCAATCACTTTTGACACCACGGCAGTCCCTGGAGGTGACTGCAGAAACCGTGGCAGACACAAAGTCACAAGCGTGAATCCTCAGATGTTGGGCAGGAAACAGTGGTTGTTCCATGAATCTGTGTATCCTTTTATACCCCCATAACATCTGCACTCATGTGTGGTGGAATGAGCCAGCTAAACCCCATATGCCATAACATGTTTCAGAAAGATGAAAACCTATTAATTAGGGTTCATGGGCGCCTTTTTTTTGCCAAGTAGCACTATGCCTGGCACACCCATGGCAAGCAAGATGCAAACTTGCACCCGGGTCAGACCAAATCCCTTCGGTTGAGAATTGATTTTTGGTGCCATGGCGCTACCTAGTCCTTAAATGAAGGGGCATGAATCTACCATCAGCTAGATGGCTGCAGTCAGACTGAAGCGACATGGCATATTTGAAGTAGGGCACACCAAAATCCATTTAAGGTTCATCAACACTTTCATTGAAAATAACGCAGAGCAAAATGACCGAATTAAATCAATTCTTCATCATATGTTCGAATTCCAAACTGTTTTTCCTTTTTGGGAAAACACCAGATCTGGTCAATGAGCAACACAAAACCACTCTGACTTTCTACTGGTTCAAAGGGATCCCAGTACTAAGTTTCATGTTATATGATCATGCATTTGAACCACCACCATAATAAATGAGGCCAACCAATTAAAATCAGCAATAGCCCAGATGACGATATCCCACCGAGAACTACTAACAGCATTCCATATACCCGGCAGAGCTACAACCACACAGGAACTGTGGTGACAGCACTATGTATAGAAACCCACACTGGCAGCCACCAATCACTTAACCCACTGAATATTCAATGGGAATTTCAGGATCCTAAAATGGAGGTACTGTACCATATAAGGCCATATTTTGTGGGGATATTCCCTTACATAGGCCTTACATAGGCCTTATATATGGTAGGTACCTCCAATTTAGGTTCCTGAAATGGCCATTGAAATATAGCTCGATCTATATTATACACAGATTGTATGGGTATATAATTACAATAGCCCCCTTAGATCTATTCAATGGATCAAGATCATCCATACCCCTGCGGCAAAACCCAGGGTGGATGGAGCTATCGATTCTGATCGAAATGCTGGTGCCACGTTTGCATTGCGGTGGCGTTGTCGAAGGGAACCTGCCCAGGGCGGATAGTCTGCAGATTTTTGTGGATCAGGGAATCTGGACATAATGGGGTATGAACATAAATAAATACATTATGACCCTGCTAAAACCAATAAATTTGAAATAATGTTTCCTGAATGATCAATGATAGAGACAAGGGTCCCATACATTATAATAAGGGTATCACCTAGCTTTAAAAGTTAATAAAGGGATTGCACCATGTTTCATGGACAGGAGTCAGAACTTGAAATAATCTTTGATTTTTTCAACAGTGCCGTGATCCAGCATCACGTGAATTGCCGGCCTTTAGCACAGCTCTTGAAACAACCCAAGCCAGTGGAAGGGTTACCGCAGGGACGCTTCGTTCCCTCCCTCCACATACATGGCACCCTTAGAAAATCCTAGGATTTAAAGCAGTCAGGAGCGGTCACGTTTGCGCTTAACTTTCTCCACAGAGCCCGTGTCATCAGCAGCAGGCAACCAGCCAGCCAAATGCTTCGCATGAAGCCACCTTAGGTCCTTAGGTCAAAAAGCAGGTTTCGACCACACTAAAACAAACACTACTGTAAACAATGTCCAATGCTGACTTGAAACATCCAAGAAGTAGCAGGCTACATCAACTAAATCTCCCTATAAGCTGCTTTGCATGATACCTCACATTCCAGTTTGTATTGCTATACTTTTTGTTTTGGAAAATTTTGATTGAGCTCACTATCTCACCAAGGCACGCTTTGCCCATGTCCTCATACTTGTTCCATGACACTGTGCTTCGACCACTGGAATCAGCTTTGATCTTCTCATCCCCTTTTGAGTGAGAGATGCAGAACTGCTGGGCAGATAGCACCACAAGGATCGAAGATGCACACTCACCACAGGATGCATCCGGCACCACCATGTAGCTCCTTAGATGTTCCAAAAAATTGGTAAACATACACATAGGGAAAGAAACATTGTTGACATCAAATTAATTGCATGACCAAATGTGTACACATGATCGTTTCACATCTTTACATTTTTCACATCTTTACATTTCAGACTAGTATCATTTTTCCTTCGTCCTGGGGTTCCGTCAAGTCATTCAAAACATGAGGGAGGAGCTGCTTCTGTCGCTTAAGTTTCATCAAAGCTTGCAAGCTTGCAATGTTTTGGCCTCCCTTTTTCGACGCTCTTTCACCTTCTTTGGGGTAGCTTCCGGTTTCTTTCCTGGAGTGCTTTCCTTCATCACCTTGTCGGCATTCTTTCCCTTCTTTGGACTGCTCTTGCCATGTGGGTCCCAAACTTTGCAAGGTGTGGACATCAAAGAAGTGACCCGAGCTTTGCGAGCCCTGGGGCGATCCTCATTCTCCAACTTCTGCTTTTTTGAAGCCTGCAGTTCCTCTGAAGTCTTGTCCGGAAGCGTGCTCTCATCTTTGGCTCTCTTACCTCGTTTTTTGTCGGCATGCTTTCATCATCCTTTGTCTTCTCCTCAGCCTGCTTTCTCTTCGGCACCTTGCTTGGTGCAGCCTTTGAAGCCTCCTTTTTGGCTTTCTTTTCCTCTTTCTTTTCTTCTTTTGCCTTCTGCTCTGCTGCCTTCTCTGCTTTTCCAAGTTCTTTTTCTGTCTGCCGAGCTTTCTGCTCGTCTCGCATTTTTTTTCTCATGTCCTGTTGCTGCTTCACAATGTCCACAGTCCCAGGCAGGGATTCCATTTCACCACCCTTCACATCCACAGACATTGGCACCAGAGGGTTGGGAATGAGAGCTCCTTTTGCCTTTGGCTCTGCTGTTTTCTTGTTGTCTTTCGAGCTTGGTTTTGCAGCACTGCCAGACGAAGGGTCCTGACCCATGTGTTGCACACAAACACACCCTGTATCTTTCGTTCATGCCCACATGACCCACATGTAAGCACATACCCGAAAACAAAATTGCCAAATCTTTGATTTAAAAAAACGCATCAAACTCAGCACATGATAACACACTGCAGTCCTGTGCAGGTGAAGGGGCAGCATTCATTGCAGTTGATGGTTTCTGCACAAGTGCCTGGGGAGGGCAAACTGTAAGCTGCAATAATGTCTGGATAAGTTGCATGTTGCTCATGCGGATTGATTTTGGTAGACCCATATACCAACGGAAAGCCTGGTCCTTGGTCTTGGTATCCTGTGGTCCCTTTGTGCGCTTCTTCATTGCTGGCATCAACGGGCTGGGCAACTTGTCACGCTGTGTCTCGTAGAACAAGGTGTAGTCCAGGAAGTCTTGTGGTCTGATCTCGTCTTGGTTCTGCTTTCAATCCACTCTTCCACTACCTTCTTCACCTCCTCCTCCCAGTACACCTCCAAGTGGGAACATGGATATTGAATGAAAAGTAGATGAACATATTACTCATGAAACGGAGATGTGTGAACATACATAAATTTGAAAACCCATGCCTTTCCATCCGTTTGTCTTCTCTCGTAAAGCCTTCCAAAAAACAAGATTCATAAATTGTTGCATGCATACATGCGGGAAGTTTGGTGTTTCACATGGTAGCAGGAATTAAACAACAGATGCAAACACCGAAACCTCCATTCTTTTCAATCGATGGGCTTCGGTTTTCGCAGATTCTTCCTGCCAGAGCTGAATCAATCATTACACAAAGCCTTGAAAACATAATACTGCATATGCACAGATATAGTTTTAAAAAATGTCCTGGCCTTTTCTGGGACTTCTTCACATGGCTCATCCAAACCAACCGCATCTCGTAGTTGTCCTTCCCGACTTGGTTCTTTCTCTGGCAAGTCCTTGCCAACAAAAGCATGCACATGTATCAAAATTTGATACACATTTCGGAGACTATGGCACAACAGCCAAGAGCTAGTTCTTCAAAACCATGTGTGGTTTTTGGAACAGGATATCACGAACTTCAATTTTTTTTCAGCCAAGATGCGTCATCAGATACAGACACAGCATCAGCATGTAGTTCCAAACCTTCAGCAAGAGGTTCCACCTGCATTGAGAGTCAAGTTGGAAACACAGAGTCTGGCTTCATGCAACGTAAAATCGGATCATCTAGTGATGATGGGGAACACAACAGCAGAAATCAAAACGCATATCGAAGTGGTAAATAGTGGTAAAGTCTATACCCACCCTTAAGGTTTTGCAGCCGATAGGGGGTCTTTGGAATTTGATTCTAGGGTCCTTGGTGATTTAGTTCTACCTCTGATTGTGTGATATATGTTTTCCATTATTTATTTCTTTATCTATCTTATCTATCAAGGTAGGTGGCCTTGGTATATACTAGTGAAAATGATCCCAAAGGAAAGATCGTCTTGGGTTAGCGTCCCTTGGATGTTTCAATATATAGCTAATTCTTATCCGCCATTCGGTAATCATGCCAAGATGGGGATTGATAATTAGTCTCTCCATCCATTTACCCTTCTATTTGTGGAAGTGCCAGTCAGAACAAACGATCACCAGTCGATCGTAGTTCAAATAGTTTTTTTTTTTCGGCTGGGTACTTCGTTAAAATATATTATATCTATGTTCTGCAATTGATCTGGGTTCTCTGGAAATGGATTCTTGGGTCTTTCCAAGTACTTAATATATGATAATGGAATTGAATTGTATTATAGGTACCTTATTATTTCCCCTATGAGATAACCAATTGGTTGATTAAATGGGTATCATCTTACCATTGGTTATTTAATGTAACTATTTGTTTTTTACCATGCTTATAGAAAATTCTATGTGCATTTTTATGTTCACTCTTAGGCAACCACTTGGTTGGCTAAATTGATATCATCCCAGTATCAGTTACGGTTATTTTATTTTATTCTATTCCTTGGATTAACTGGGGTCCACTACCATTTCTGAAGGGTACCCAACCAATTGCTGGATCAAAATGGAAAAGGTATCAACCGCGCTCTTGTTTTTTCTAGGGTGGTGCCCCCATATACCTTTGGTATAAAGCCATCAATGTTATCCCTGATGATCATTATTTTTTTCAAGTGCTAAATTTCTCCCATTATTTCTACGTCTACATCATATATCCTTTAAATGCAATGTCCAACAGCTAATTTGCCGAAGTCAGGGCTCAGAAATCAGCACCCTGAGTTAGGAAAAAAAATTGGCCGATATCCTAGGTGCTTGGTGGGGTATTGCCTAAGTAAGGTCGCAAAAATCTGCACCTAGACTTAGGCGATACAGAGGTTGTACCCTGGGATTTAGGGAAAAAAATTGCCGATTTCAGGGTGCAGAAATTGGCATGTGGACTTAGGAAACAGCCCTACTATTATATTCTACCATGATTTTTGCCGCAATGGATTCGGGGTCCTTGATTTTGAGATTTAGGAAACAAATTTGCCGATCTTTTGGCTTGGGGGACCCCGTATCCATCGCAACCACAAATCCGTCGCATAACGATATTTTATTTTATTTTTTATCGAAGTACCCAACCCCAAAAAACCTATCTGAACTACGATCGAATGGTGATCGTTTGTCCTGACTGGCACTTCCACAAATAGAAGGGTAAATGGATGGAGAGACTAATTATCAATCCCCATCTTGGCATGATTACCGAATGGCGGATAAGAATTAGCTATATATTGAAACATCCAAGGGACGCTAACCCAAGACGATCTTTCCTTTGGGATCATTTTCACTAGTATATACCAAGGCCACCTACCTTGATAGATAAGATAGATCAAGAAATAAATAATGGAAAACATATATCACACAATCAGAGGTAGAACTAAATCACCAAGGACCCTAGAATCAAATTCCAAAGACCCCCTACCGGCTGCATATATTGATATATATATATATACATGTATAAAGATATAATATATTTTAGTTTTTTTATCAAAGTACCCAGCCGAAAAAAAAAAAGCTATTTGAACTACGATCGAATGGTGATCGTTTGTTCTGACTGGCACTTCCACAAATAGAAGGGTAAATGGATGGAGAGACTAATTATCAATCCCCATCTTGGCATGATTACCGAATGGCGGATAAGAATTAGCTATATATTGAAACATCCAAGGGACACTAACCCAAGACGATCTTTCCTTTGGGATCATTTTCACTAGTATATACCAAGGCCACCTACCTTGATAGATAAGATAGATCAAGAAACAAATAATGGAAAACATATATCACACAACCAGAGGTAGAACTAAATCACCAAGGACCCTAGAATCAAATTCCAAAGACCCCCTATCGGCTGCAAAACCTTCCTTGTCATCATCGTCCATTGGGATAGTGTCCATGATGTCCATATAGCTGTTCTCATACTTTGCTGCCATGGTCTTGTAGTTGTTTTCGATCATGTCCTGTCAGAGAAAACCCTAGCCCTTAAGTAGATGACCCCAATCTCAATATCCAATAAACTAATAGCTGAAACAAAGTCATAGTGAGAACGCACCTCACCATCATCATCATCATCATCATCATCATCATCATTGGCCCATGGGTCTTCACGGCAATATCCCAGAGGGTCTGGTGTGTTTTCCATAGGGTCCTAGCAGGGCTAAAATCATGTATGTGTTCTAACAGTAGCCATATCTAAAATCAAAACATTGATGGCATGAACCAGGTGGCTCCTGTAAGACTTCATCATCTAGGGCCATAGACTCTGTGGAGGCACAAACCTTTTCATCTCCTTTCTGTGGTTCTAGCCCACGCAGCTGTGCGACGATCTTCTTGAGAACAACTATGCGGGGGTTCCTGCAACCAGAAAGAAAAAGGTCATTATTGATTGAGAGCATCCATGCCAGACAGAAACAACCACGATATACACAACAACATGTCCTGGCTGACACCGTTCGATACGTAATGTTCACAGTGTGGCGGGCAAGTTCCAGCAACTTCGAGCCCTCAAGGTTTGCCCAGTCCTGACACAACATATAACTAATTGTGAAAGATGGAAAGAAATCAACTTGTTCATTTCTTTGAAAATATTGGATGAGTCCCCCTTCACCTGTTTCTTACCACTCTTCGTGTCATATAGCTCCGCTGGGAAAAGGTTGCAGGTGATAGCCAACAGCGCAAAAGCCACCTCAAAAACATTGATGTGGTCATAGGTCATCACAGATTTTGCATTTGCATTTGGATATGGTGCCATATATGTATTTGAACCTTCTAGCCAAACCAGGACGGCAATAGGGGTACACAAAGTTGATATTGCCCATTTATTAGTCTTGGGTGAGTTTCAAACCGTTTAATGGCAATGCTGGGGAATTATTCATGAGTCACATTGAGGCTTGAGGATGCTGCCAAGAAGCTTTCTGGTCTTTAGCGGACGGCAGCTTGGACCCAGCAAAGGCTAAGAGGTACTCTTTGAGAAGATCATAGTTCTCCGTGAGATCTGACTCATGGACCTCAGACATCAGTCCATAGCTATGGTCATTTTTGCTTGTTCAAACTACAGAAAGCTAATAAAAGGGATGCATGTATCAATCTTGCCTAATCCTGGCCAGGTGGCCATCGTCGCCTCCTTTTTCCAATGAACAAGTTTCCTGTCCTTAGATCGCACATGTTGTTAGATGTGGTCTATATGAATGTATCATGTATGCATTCCATCATCACTACATGCAACTATTTAGTGATATAAAATAAATATGACAAAGGTCTGGGTCACTCATGATTGATGGCAACAGGTTGTTGATCACCTGGTAGACCACGTCATGGATCGCTTCCGCCATCTCCTTGGATTCCCAAAGAACTACAGTCAAATCCAAGTTTGAAGTTTGAAGTTTGGCCCTGGTTATCACAGAAGCTATGCATGTAGGTCACCCTTAAGGGAAGAAATACGGTGGTTTTTCACATCCAAGAAGTTATCAGATGACCACTGGACTATAAATCCAAGATACCC